AAAATAAAACAAGCAGGTCAATCATTAAGGAAAATGTTATTTAATTTTTTAACAAATCACACACTATAGTTGAAGCACTGAAGCTTTTAGTGATTTTAGAAAACAAACTGTAGGTATCTGCCCTCTAGATTTGGCTTGGATACAAAGTACAGCATTGGTGAGCAACATGTAAACAATCAAATAGCATAAGATGCAGGTTAATTCAATTGCAAGGCTAAAAGTTATTAATTATTTAGAAATGATTACAGGGAAGTTTCAGAAATTTAAAATCTAGCAATATATCAAGAATCAAAGAATCAAAACATTGTTGTCAAATCTAGCAAACCTCCATAGAACAGTTGTCAGATACATTATAAAATAATATTATTATGGCAGATTTGATGTATTTTCATATAATATCCTCTAGTCAACAGATCCCTCAAATAAATTCAGCAAGTGCTGCCTGAGCAGCAGTCAAACGATCCAAGCGAGCTAGTAGGTCTTTGCGTCTTTTGCTGACATCAGAGTCCTCAAAGAGGAGCTCGCTCACATTTGCCCCGTCCAATAAACCTAAAATGTCAGTAGACAAGAGGTCAGCAGTTTCCTTCAGCATGAAAAGGGAGATCATCATGGGCAGTTGGTCAGCCATCCTCTGCACTACCATCTGAAAGAAAACAATGATATATGAGATATTAAGTTACTTCCACACACCACAAGCACTGCATTGCAATTTGTTACTGAAACCTAGGCATATCTACCTCATAATGTGCCTCCAGCATATGACTGTACTTGCACTTTTTGTCAAACATAGGTAACTGTTCTTCTGAGAACTGCTCATTGGTAATCTCACTCAAGATCTTCAGGAACATGGGATCTTGAGTGTAGATCAAGTTTTCCATTTTAAACTGCTCTGAGATCCTCTGCTCTGCCTTCTCTTGCTGACTTGACAGAATGTTGTTGATTTTACTCTATAGAGACAAGTGAAGAAGACAGAGGAAAGAAAACTTGATCAAACTGTATTAAAAATGGGAAATATTTGCTATTAATTATGAGAAATATATACCACAGTTATGTTTTTAAGGGCAGGGTAGTTCCGGAAACAATGATTGACCACGTCAAGTAAATGTTTGATGGTGATGTCTTCAGGAGACATGCATAAATCAAGAAGACAAACAGCCACATGTGCTAAAATTATTAAAGTTATTCAGAACCAGAACATCTTTAAACACAAAGGTGTGTGATGTACCATTCATGTCACTGAGTAAGTCATTGGCTGGCTCCTCTAGTTTGGCCACATGTTCCTGAAGGGCAGACTCAAACACTTTGTAGTTGCTGATGCCAGGCAGTTCCCTCCCTCTGTTTTCCTGGCTCACCGCTTTTGAATTAGAAACTTGTTT